GGGTTGGCAGGTACTGAGTAGTTCAGGGCTCTGTTCCCAGGGTCCAGGACCACAGAGTAGAGGAGTTAACAGGCTTCTGGATGTGTTTTATTTTCCCTACAGCCTGTGCGCCCTTCCCACCAACACCTCAGCCACCTTTCAAGGCCTTGCTGACGCACCTCACGCCCTCATGCTCAGTGGCTCCCTCGCTCCTTCCTAGACGCTGCTTTGGATTGGCATTTCACCAGGCCTGCCTTCCCTAGTCAGTGATTTTCCCCTGGTTCTGACCCCGGCTGGACCGAGCTGCTCTAGGCCGGCTCACAGCCAAGAGGTTCTGGGTCAGAAGGCAGGACCAAGTGGTCACCCCAGGCCCCCAGTTGCTTCCCATCCTACCAGAGCTTCTCCACTCTTCCTTCACTTATGACCTGTCCCTCTGGCAGGAGTTTCCCAACCCTGCTCTTAAATGAGACTTCATAGGTGTGGGGGACCCTCTCCTACCAACGCTGATGGGCCAGGAGCACAGACGTGCCCCAGGTCAGAGCCAGGCCTTGAACCCGGGCCTTGCTGACTCCAAGGCGGCCCCTCCTCCCCCACCTGAAAGTGTTTGGTAAGGGTGACCTTTAGGGAAGAGTTTGGCTTGCGTGGGCCCAGCCCCCTTCCTGCATCCAGGCAGCAATGAGGAAGTAGCAGCCCCAGGGAAGGGGAGACAGAGGTGGGAGGGGAACCCAGGTGGAGCAGAAGGGGAGCCACCAAGGACCTGAAGCCTGGCCTCTGGCCAATCTGGAGACAGCGCCCTCAGGGACTCCCAAAACGGGGATGTGGGAGCTGGGGAGGGGGCCAGAGGAGCCCCAGCCCCGTGCCTCGACACGTCCCTCACTCCACCAAGTGAGACGCCCAGCACACATTTCTAGGCTTTATTCCAGGATACCAGACGGGAGGGCAGCTGCCGCCCTTGGACCAGACTGGGTGTGAAGGGAGTGGCTGGGCCCCCCCGCCCCTCCCAGGCTTCACCGGTACAGGAAGTCGGCCTGGATGTTGGCGGCAATCTCGGCCTCCCACTTGTCCCCGTTGTTGAGAAGTTTCTCCTTGTTGTAAAGCAGCTCCTCATGGGTCTCCGTGGAGAATTCAAAGTTGGGGCCCTAGGCAGGGGGATGGGGAGTTGTGAAGCCCAGTGGGGCGGGGACTCCAGACCCGTCCCCCACCCCCAGCCCGACCCGCTGACCTCCACGATGGCGTCCACGGGGCAAGCTTCCTGGCAGAAGCCACAGTAGATGCATTTGGTCATGTCGATGTCGTAGCGGGTTGTCCTCCGGCTGCCGTCTGCCCTGGGCTCGGCCTCGATGGTGATGGCCTGCGGGAGGGACGAGTTAGCAGCAGAGCCCCGTCCTCCCGCTGCCACAATCCACACGGCACTCGCCTCACCTGGGCCGGGCAGACGGCCTCACAGAGCTTGCAGGCGATACATCGCTCCTCCCCCGAAGGGTAGCGCCTCAAGGCATGCTCCCCGCGAAAGCGCGGGCTCAGAGGGCCCTTCTCAAAGGGGTAGTTGATGGTGGCAGGTTCCCGGAACAGGTAGCTCAGAGTCATCGCCAAGCCTACAAAAGAGGCAGAGGGTCCCCAGGGAGGCCTCCCCTCCCCCCTCAAGGGGCCCCCTCAGCTGCTCCCCATGCCCACACGCACCTCGGAAGAGCTCCGTCCACAGCAGGGTCTGGGCTGCTCGGTTGGTCACAGACTTCATGTCCATGGTGGGCTCCTTCACATTCACAAACTCTGGAAAGAAGACATGTCAGCTTGTCAGGGAAGGATGGGCAGAGGCAGGCCTCAGCGCTAAGCCACCTCAGACACAAAAAGGCCTCCCAAAATGAGGCCCCTTGACCCTAATGTGAAGGACTGCAGCATTCCTGGTCACCCACAAAACCCGCTGGTTCAATCTGCTTTACTTACTAAGGCAGGAAAGTGAACAAAGCCATCTTTAGTAAGATTTTTTTTTTAATCAAAACCTCAGTTCACTAGAAAAATAAATCAACTGAATGATTAGCAAATAGGATTTCTCAACAAGCCAGGCTCATCGTCCTAAGTCACTCCTGCCTCACCACTGCACCGTCTAAGGATATACCGGACATACCTCCAAGGGGTTGGGATGGGGTCGCCTGCTGAGCGAGGTGCTAGGAAGGAGCCCTTAATAAAAAACACGACAGCATGATTTCTCCCAATTAAAGATTCAGGATAGAATGTTTTCTGCCCTGCTTAGGGAAGGGGACCCAGGCCTGTAGGGGCTGACTGATCTGGCACTTTGGGTCTCCTCTCCAGAGCATCTGATGCACACACGCCAGGTCACTTTCCCTCTCCGGGGTGTCTGACACCAGCAGGCCTCCCTCACTCAGCGGGGTCTGACACCTGAGGGGTCTCCCTCTGGTTCCTCATCCCTTGCCATTCCCTCAGGGCTGAGTCAGCACCCCATCTCTGCTCTGGCATATCCTGAGTCCCAAATGCAAGAACCTGGGAGACGCCAGGCTGCCATACAGGAGAGGAAGAGGGTGGGGCAGACCTGGCTCCCCCAGGGATATGGGTTTGTTTGAGAATCTGAAAGCTGCTGCTTGTGGAACTCTCCCACAGCAAGGCGCCCGAGGGCAGGGCCTGTCCTCTGGCGTGCAGTCATGTGGCCAGGGCTGGACCAGAGGAAGTGGATCTGTGAGGGTCCTTGGAGACCAGCCAGGCCAGCGCCATCGCCTTCCAGAAGACGTAGCTCAAGGCTGGAGAAGGAATTCCGCTGAGGCCCTAGAGGGGATCTGCGGCAGCGCAGGGATGCCAGGCGAGATCCTTGGATACCGTTCTCCTGGGCTGCCCGACAACCTGGGGCAATACCAGCATCTTGTGCCCCGTGAGAGGTGTGGTTCAACTCCAGCACCCAATGTGTCATCTAGAGGTCTCTGGAGACCCTCCATGCCAGAGGACACACTGGGCAGCGGCAGGCTTCTATTCATCAAAGGCACTGGGCTAAGATGGTACCTGCATGGGAGGAGCAGGGCACAGCCTAGGGGCCTGTCTCTTCCCCTCCCACCTCAAGACGTGAGGACTGGGTCCAGTGTAGAGGACCCCTGAGGGCCCTGGCGGCTCTCAGGACCCCTCTGACACTTATGGGCTTCCATCCTGCTGGCCCCAAGCCTCTGAGCGCCTGCTTCCTCATCTGCTCCCAAAAGCATTAAGACTATCAGCGCCAGGTGCTCCTGAAATGGGACTGGCTCCTCGGACCCCTCTTTGCTCGGGGGCCAGGCACACAGATGTGGCAGAGGCCACCCTGAACCTCAGCAGCAGCTCCTCTATTTCTGCCTTGAGTGGGCAAAGGGAAACCCTGGACCATTCTGGGTGGGCTGAGTTAGAGGTCAAAGGTCCCCCAGGCAGAGAGTGGGGAGAGAACAATGGCTGTCTGAGGACCAACCCTAGGATACTCACTGTAGGAGGAGACGGAAGAGGGACTGCTGTGTAGACCTCTGGCCAGGCCTCGGCAACTGGCTGGTCCTAGAAGAGGCAGAAGCATTACCCAGTGCCAGTGCCAAGAGCCTCCCCTCCCCCTCCCCAACCCCTGTGCCACTGTGGGGCGCTGCCTACCTGTGCCTGCCAGCCGGGAAAGGACGCGCAGCAGGGCCATATTTGGGCAACTCATCTGGGGAGAGGAAGGGGGGGGCGGCACCGATCAACACAAGGGCCTGCCTCCCCTCCCCCGCAGGGGCTGGAGCCCCAGCTTCCACCGGCTCCCCTTGAAGCCTGCTCTACCAACTGCCCCCCCCAGTCACTCTGCAGTGCCTCCATTCACTCCTTCACTCATTCATTCACTTGTTCATTTATCCCTTCACTCGTTCATTCATTCGTTCACCCATTTGTTCATTTACTCATTTGTTCGTTCACTCGTTCATTCCTTTACTAATTCATTTACTCATTCGTCCACTCATTCGTTCATTCCTTCACTCACCCATTCTTCACTCCTTCATTCATGTACTCATTTGTTTGTTCACTCATTCATTCATTCCTTTACTTGTTCATTTACTCATTCATCCTTTACTCATTCATTCACTCATCCATTCCTTCACTCGTCCATTCATTTACTCATTCATTCGTTCACTTCATTCATTCCTTCATTCATCCATCCGTTCACTCGTTCATTCATTCCTTCACTCACCCATTCCTTCACTCATTCGTTGATTCATTCCTTCACTCCTTCATTCATTCGTTCACTCGTTCATTCCTTTACTCAATCATTCCTTCACTCACCCATTCCTTCACTCATTCGTTCACTCATTCCTTCACTCGTTCATTCATTCCCTTGCTCGTTCATTTACTCATTCATCCGTTCCCTCGTTCATTCGTTCCCTCGCTCGTTCATTCATTCCTTCACTCGTGTGTTTACTCATCTACTCCTTCATCCCCTCATTCCCTTCTTCCTTCATCCATCCATCTGCTCCCTTCTTCTCTCCCTCCCTCCCTGGGCCAGGTGAGGGGCCTCTCCCCCTTCCCCCCCGGGTCAGAGCTGGGGGGCCCCGAGCCCGAGGATGTCGGATCCCTGGAGGCCCCCGGAGTGGAGAGCGCCCACTGCGTGCCGGCAGAGCCAGGCTTGGGGGGGCCCCGGGGGTGGGGGAGAAGGTCGGGGGGACGGGGCGCGCGGCTTCGCACGTGACCTTGGACGGGTCCCCTTCCAGTCCCCGGAACCGAGCCTCGTCTCCCCGGCTGAGAAGCAGGGGGAGGAGCGGGAAAGCCCGGGAGTGACGAAGGTGAGGGAGCAGAGGAGCCACGTCGTGACCCGTGACCCGTGACCCCTGGCCGGGCCCCCGCCCCCTCCCGTCCGGCCGCGCGCATGACGCATGCGCAGTTTCAGGGTGACCCTCCTGCTCTCATCCTGAAGGACGCCGGGAGCGGTCTCCTGCGTGGCCCAGCCGGAGCAAGGACGCCTGGCCTGGCCCGGGCCCGGCCCCGAGCCGCTCTGCTCCCTCCCCTTCCCTCCCTGGCCAGCTGAGCTGCGCACTCACCTAGAGGAAGGGCCCGCACCGCTACCGCCGCCGCCACTGCTGAGCCTCGGGGCCGGGTCGGGCGGGGGGGGGGTGTGTGTGCGGGGGACTCTGTCACCTCTTGGCAGCTCCCATTGGAGCGCTGGCCTGTCACTCAGGCGCGCCGGGCGGAAACGGTGAATTTTGATTGACCGAGAGGCAAGAAGCGGAACCACAAGCTTAAATCCACGGATGATTGGCCGAATTCGGGGCCCAGAAAGCCAAGCAGGGCGGTGCCATGTTTGTCCGCAGGAACCAGTGAACAAAGACGCTTCAGTCACGTGAGGGACGAGCGACGCCGGGCGTCACATGTTTAGCTCCGGGGGGCGGGGCAAAGGTGCGCGTGGGAGGGGCGTGAGAGCGGTCGGGAAGTGCGACTTCAGGTTCTCGGTCTACGAAGCGGGCACGTGGAGCGCACCTTGGTGCGTGACCTAGCGCAGGCGTCCAGGCTGCTCCAGCCTCAGTTTCTTTAACTGCTAAGGAAGGGGAGGGGTCTGTGCCCCCCCGCGGTGCTCAGAGCAGCCCAGGTTCCCCCGGCCCGCTCGAATCCAGCGTTTGCTGCGAGGTATGTTAGGCTCGTTGTGGTGTTCAGCCCTGTCCCACCCTCCGTCGCCCCATTTGGGGTTTTCTTGGCAGAGATATTGGGGTGCTTTGTCATCTCCTTCTCCAGCTCGTTTACAGATGAGGAGACTGAGGCACACAGGATGAAGTGGCTTGCCCGGGGTCCCCCAGCTAGGCAGTGTCAGAGGCAGGATTTGAACTTGGATCTTTCTGACTCCAGGCCTGAGGCTCAGGGCACTGTGCTGCCCCCGGCTGCCCTAGTTATTAAACATCTATCACGCGCCTCTTTGTCCAAGGACGAACTGAAAGAGCTCCTAGTCGCAAGGAGCCTGCATTCTGGGAGTGGGGGGCACAGGACCCCCTAAATAGCAAGTCATTGGGCGGTGGGAGCAGAGGTCGGGAAGGAGGAGCCCCTGGCTGAGCCCGGAGGAAGCTCAGGATTCCACTTGGGCATCTGTAAAGACTGGGAGGTGGGAGATGAGCCGATGCGTGAGGAGTGATGCGGAATCAGCTGGGAAAGTTAAGGGGAACCCGATTGGAAAGGGTTTTTAACACCAGAGGAGTGTGCTCAATCCTAGAAGCACCGGGGAGCCCCCGAAGTCTCTTTAAAACGGGGTGGCACCCCCCCATTTCATGGCTGTGCAGGGAAGGGACCGGAGAGGGGAGATGCCAGGTGCAGGGAGACTGCGGCAGGAGCCCTGGCAGGGGTTGGGGGTGGGGAGAGGGGAGAGTGAGGAGCGACAGTGAAGCCGCCAGCCTCGGGGACTGGAGGGATGGGGCCCTTTGGGACAGGCAGGGTTTGAAACCCCCTGGAGCAGAACTAAAGGGGATCTCAAAAGGCCATGGTCCAGCAGGCACCTGGGCAAGAATTCAGACTGACGGTGTTGTAAAAGTGTCACCTGGCTTCTGCTTAGAGGACTCCCCTCCCCCAATCCCTCAGCTCTCCTGGTTAAAAAGCCTGCCCAGGCACTAAGCCTGCATCTCCCTCTCACTAACTCCCACACACTGCTTCTAGTTCTGTCCTCTGGCCCTGAGCAGAAAAGACAGAATTTAGTTTGGGAAGATATTTAGAGGTCGCAGGGTCCAGCCTCCTCACAAAAGGGGAATTTCCCACACAGACATCCCTTGTCAGTCTGCTCCAGGCTGAACATCCCCATCCAGTCCTTGAACAGCTTCATTTTTTGTATAGCCTGTCCAGTGCCCCTCCAAAAATGTGTGCCTAAAACTGAGCTGGGGCCCCAGGCTGGCTTGGAGGCTCAGCTCAATAATCAGACAGCTGAATTTGGGTTTCCCATACGGCCTTTACTTAGAACTGGGCAGCACCAGGAATCCTAGGGCCCCTCTGCCCCAGGTACAGACTCACAGCCAGCAGGGCTGGAAGGCCAAGTCCAAGGGATCTCCTGCCCCTTTGTAGCCCTCACTACAAGTTCATCTCAGCCATGCCACTGAGACCCACGGGACGGGTGCACAGCAGGAGAGTGTTCTGACAGGAGAGTCCTGGTGCCTGTGAGAAGGGGGCAGCCCCCAGCTCATAGGAGCGTGCACTGGCCCTTGTGGCTGATCTCCACCATGGACAGCAGCAGCCCCAGATTACGCTGGGCATAGGGTGGGTACCGCAGAGAGTTAAGCTTCTCCATGCCCGAGCTCCGCAGGAGGCAGCCGCGCTGATGCGAGAACGTATCGAAGCTGAACTTTCCATGGTACATACCCATCCCACTGTTTCCTATAAGACAGAAAGGCAGGCAGTGTGTGAGGGGGCAGCGACGGGGGGTTTGGGCAGCCCTCCTTCTTCCCCACACCCCCACTTTCAGTACAGTCCCCATCCCCCCATCTGGAAGTGGGGGGAAGGGGGAGATTCAGCAAAACCCCTCAGCACTGGGACATAGAATTGGGTAAAAAGTCTTGTGTCAGAGATGTATGAGCTGAGGCAAAGTGAACTGAGGTGGGGGCTTCACGGGAACGGCAATGTTGTACAATAATCAGCTGTGAAAGCCTTGGCTGCTCTGATGAAGGCAGTGATCCAAGACCCATGATGAGCCAAAGGACCCATGATGGAAAATGCTGTAATATGGTTAATATGGAAATCAGTTTTACATGATTTCACATGTGTAATTGATAGAATTTTGTTTGCCTTATCAGTGAGTGGGGGAGGGGAAGGAGGGAGGGAGAGAACTTGGAACTCAAAATTTAAAAAGAAAAGAGTGTTTAAAAAAAAAAAGTCTTACATCTTTTCCTGCTGAACGGTGAGTCCATGAGGGCAGAAATTGGGCCTTTTCTAACCCAGGACCCAGAATGGCAGTTTGATTCAATAAACATTAAAGTTTGTGTCAGCAGCGTGATACAGTGTAGGAGGCCTTGGAATCAGGAAGACCTAGGTTCAAGTATTCCTTGTGAGCCATTGCAGACATTGTGGAAGGAACAGGAAAGGACAGGGTGTCTGCAGCATCTCTCATGACTTTGGAGAGAGCCAGGCCCGCAGGGATTGGACGAGGGTCATGAGGCAGAGCTTGAGACCTACCTACTCCTCCGAAAGGCAGTGTGGTCAGCGTCATGTGCATGAAGCCATCATTGCCACAGAAGCCCCCGCTGCTGGTCTGCTCCAGCATCTGGCGCACCACCTAGAAGAAAGCCAGGGCTCAGGAGATGCCCGGGCACTCTGCCACGGGCATTAGTAGAGGGGCTCCAGCCATCCTGGGGCTCCTGTGCCCTCTGCTGCAGTAGAGAGGCTGAGGAGCACGCCCCTGACCAGGCCCTGTGACAGACACCCTGTGTAGCGACCTTAGTTACTCTGGAGTGCTGAAGCAACAATGCGAAGGCAAGGAGCCTGAGGGCAGATTCAGGAGGGTGAGGCCCTTCTCTGAGTCCCCCAGGTTCTTCCCTTGCGCCTAGTTCCAGGCCTATCACTTCAAGCCCGGACTGCTGCAGAGGCCTCCTGGACTGCTGCAGAGGCCTCCTCAACTTCCAGTTTTCCACCTGGCCGTCAAAGGAGACTTCCTGAAGCATAGTTCTAAATATGCTGCTGCCCTGCTCAAGAACCTTCCACGTCTCCCTCTTACCTTTAGGATAACATAGTATCATAGATTTGGAGATGGGAGGGACTGTCAGGATTACCTAGTCCAACCCCCTCCCCCCCTTTTATGGAAGAGGAGACTGACCAGTGAATCCCAGAGCTGGAGCAGGGTTCCGAGGCTGTGAAGTCTAACTCATTTGTAATTAAGAATCCCCTCTACCACAATAGGGCAAGTGGGTGGCACAGAGGATAGAACACTGGGCCTGAGTTCAAATCCAGCCTCAGACACTTATTAGCTTAGTGACTTTGGGCAGCTCACCTGTTGCTTCAGTTTCCTCAACTGTAAAACGAGCTGGAGAAGGAAATGGCAAATAACTCCAGCGTCTCTGCCAAGAAAACCCCAATGGGGTCGTGAAGAGTTGGAGGTGACTGAGTGACCAGAACGGTGCTGCCGATGCGTGGGTGGTTGGCTGTCCAGCCTGCTGGCAGACCTCAGGAGATGAGTGTCTCTCCCCCTCTCCGATGGCCCTCTCCCACTTTGGGTTAGGCCTGTTTCCTGATATCCAGCCCCTCTTCCTCTGCAGTTCCTCCTTGTTTCTCCTGGTTCTGCCCTCAGGGCCGTGCAGGACAAATCCAATCCCTCTTCCTCAGGACAGCTCTGCCTAGAGCATTGTTGTTTAGTTGTATCAGACTCTCTGTAAGCCCCATTGGGGTTTTCTTGGCAGAGATACTGGAGCGGTTTGCCATTTCCTTCTCCCCTTCATTTTACAGGAGGAACTGGGGATCACACAGCTAGGAAGCATCTGAGGCCAGATTTGAACTCGGGAAGTTGGGTCTTCTTGACTCTAGGCCCAGCATGCTGTCCACTGTGGCACCACCTGGCTGCCCCCATGGTACTTAGATGGTGGCTATTGTGTCTCCTAAACCTTCCATCCTTCCAGGTTTTACACTTCTAGTTCCTTCAGGCCTCCACGCCTCTCGCCATCCTACAGGAGATGCTCTCTGATTTGTCAACTGACTTCTTAAAATGTGGTGCCCAGATCTGAACATGGAGTAATGTCATCTCCATTGTTTGGCACCCTTTGGAGGCCTCTTGGCTTTCTTGGCCATCGTGTCAAACTTGACTCATGCTGACTTTGTGGTCCACGAAATTCCCCCAGTCTTTCTTATAGAATATGATGCCTCCCCCAAACTCGTGAAGTTTTTAAGAAAACTGCGTAGGACTTAATATTTTCCCATATTAAGATCAATCTGATTAGATACACCCTGCCATTCTCATTTGTCAGGGCTGTTTCTGGAAGCCGACTCTGGTCCAGTGTGTCAGCCATCCCACCCAACTTCATGTCATCTGGAAATCTGAGAAACAGCCACCTGTTTTTCATCCAAGTCACTGATAATGCGTGTTGATAGCATGAGACGACGAACAGAGCCTTGTGGCACTCTGATGGAGACCGTGTGTACTGACCCATTAATGACACTCTTTGAGACTGGGCATTCAGTGAGTACCGGTCATCTGGACAGTGTCACTATTGTATCCAGGAGGAGAACATGAGAGACTTTGCTAAGATTTAGGTAATGTATATCTGTAGCATGGCCTAGTAACCTGGTCAGAAGAGGAAATGAGCTTACTGTGGCATCACCCGATGTTGAGGAGGGGCAGACTGGCTCTGAATCATCCCTTCCCTTTGTACATGCCCACAAGTCTCCCTTCAATTAGACATTCTGGAATTTTTCCAGGAATCAGAGTCAAGGTCACCAGGCTGTAGTAGCAAGGACTACAGCTCTCCCTCAGACAACCCTGGGGCGCACTTCGGCACTCCCTCTCCTCGAGTCAGAATCTGAGGTTCGTCACGGGTTATAACTCGGGTTTTGTGTGTTGTGCAGGGGCCGCTAGGGCGGTGAGCTTTATGGCTTCCCCTTCTTGCCTTGTTCTTCCTCTATTGAATCTGCCATGGTGAACCTCTGTGGTAAATCCCCGTGGACCGCTGTGTCCTGCAGGCTCCCTTTCCAGACTTCATGACATGTTTCCATTTACCCTCATTAGGGCTCTTTATCCCTGAGCAATAGGTCATGTATCTGTATGTGCCTCACTCATGTAATAAACTGCCAACAAGATCCAGTCCCTCTCAACTTACAACCTTGGCAAGGAATACAATTTGCCCAGCACAATAAAGAAACACATCTTAACAGCCATAGGAGAATCATCCTAAGATCCAGGCAGGAGAGTGAGATGTGGGAGCTGAACAAAAACATGGATCTGGGTAGACATGGGGGAATGTGGGTGCTAGAAGAGAAAGCCAGAAAGGATGGGTTATTAAACCCCACAAGGCCGCAGTTAATGAAGAAACCTTGCAGTTCCTTGTTTTTCTGGTGAGAACTAGCAGCTTTAGAGAAGAAGCTTGGCTCTAGCCCAGGAAGCAGAGCCACACCTGTGCGTGCCCCCTTGTCGCCTTTGATTCCATTCTGTCCCTCCCCCCAGGCTTCACTGACCTTTCTGACCCCAGCCCCTCCCTTTAGGCTCCACTGTCCCGTCTTTCTCTGGGCCCCTCACTCTGTCCCCACTGCCTTCTCTATCCCTAGACCGTCCACTCACACCTCTATTTCCTCTATTTTCCTGCCACCACCATCCTCTTTCCTTACCTTGGAATCCTTGGAGAAGGCATATAGGGCCAGGGGCTTCTCTCTCTTCCTGATGAAAGCAATGGCCTCATCGATGCTCTGCACATTCAGGATGGGTAAAATGGGCCCAAAGATCTCCTCCTGCATCACGGGGTCCGTCTCCTTCACATCCACCAGCACCGTGGGGGCTGCCTCGGACCACAGAGGAGACCTTAGGCTGGGGCTCTCAGAGGGACCCAGGGCAGGGGGGCAGAGGTGGTGGGGGTGTAAAAAAGTTATCGTAGGGCAGACTTTGGGGGTAAAGCAATGCACACTGTGCCATGGAGCCCCTCACGGGGTCCTGGTCACAGGGTGACCACACCTTACTCCCTGTGGCTTCTTCAGAGCTGCCAGCACCAAGGACCCTGGGGGGGTGGGAAGGGGGTCGCTCACCAATGTAGCGTTCCTGCTCGTCTGACTGGCCGCCAATGGCTGCTCGGCCATTGCCCAGCAGGCCTCGAAGCCTGTGGAAATGCTTGTCACTGATGATGCGGCCCAGGTCTGGGGAACCCTGAGGATCCTTCCCATAGAACTGGGTCACTGCATTTTGCAGGGCAGGCAGCAGCTTCTCCTGCGTCTCCCGGGTACACAGGATGTAGTCTGGGGCCACGCACGTCTGTCCCGCGTTGAAGAAACGGAACCAGGCCACACGGTTGGCCACGTTTTGGGGGTCACAGTTGTCATCCACGTAACAGGGGTTCTTCCCTCCCAGCTCCAGCGTGATGGGGGTCAGGTACTTGGAGGCAGCGGACATGACGATCCGGCCTACAGAGGGGTTCCCTAAGGAAGCAGAAGTGTAGACCATCTAAGCACCTCTCCACTTCCCTGCAGACCAGGGAAGGTTGGTTTTTCATGAGGTTGTAGGCTTTAGATCTGGAGGAACCTGGGAGGTCATTCAATTTAACCCTTTCTAATCCACCTTCCACAGAGCTACTCTGTTGGTCACCTGACTGTCCCCTCCCCTGAAACTTCTGAGGCTCCGTTACCTAGGACTAAATACAGAAGCCTCAACCCCACCCCTAAAGCCCTCCATGATCTGCCTCCCCCAGGCCTTTCTATTCATTTCTTATTCACCTGCACTCCCTCTCTCCCGGTCAAAGCAGCCCACCTTCTATTCTCTCTAGTGGGCATCCCACAGCTGGGCTCCAAACCCGGCTGTCAGAAGCTTCTCCTTCCTCATCTCTGCTCCTCTTTACACACCTTTCCTGGGCACCAAGGCTGTTAGCGCTTCCCTCCTGGCATTACTTTACACCCTTTGTAGTTGTTTGTGTGTGGACTGTATTCCACCTCCTCCTGGCTGTAAGGGCAGGGATCCCCGGTAGAGGTCAGAGAGGAGAGCCAGGATTGGAATGAGCTGTCAGAATCCAAATCCGGGCCCTTAGCACAATAATCCCTGAAGGTTTTCTGCCCCAGAGTCCAGCTCTTGCCTGTCTCCAAGGCCCTAGAGGAGTAACTGCCTTGGGCGTGGGCAGATCAAACCTGAGGCATTCCACACCTCCAGAGGGGGGCCCTCCCCTTTCCCCCAAGGCTGTGCTGGGTCAGCTCTGCTAGCTGTGGGGAGAGAAATGGGGATCCCCATTGGTCCTCCATCCTGGAGGAACTCTCCAGGAGACCAGGCCTCTGGCCCTGACTCTGAGACTTTGGACAGTCTCTGTTCCCCCTCCAGGCCTCTATTTCCCCATCTGTAAGAAGGGGTTGGGCCAGAGGGACTCTAAGGCCCCTTCTCTTTCCAGAGTTATTTGTTCCAGTCTGGTTAGGGAAACAAGATATGTTCACTCTCTGCTCCCTTCTCTGCACTCCCACCAACCCCACAAGTGTTCAAGCCCTTCTCACCTCTCCCAAGTCAAGGCTGTGGCCTCCTCACTGTTCTGACTGGCCCACACACTCCTGCCCGGCTCATCTTCCCATTAACCTCTCTACCGTCGTCCACGCCATCCCCTCCCTTGCCCCCTGAACAGGTCTGCCTCTGAGGTCTCCCACGAGAATGACTCAGGACCAGCAGCAGGTTCCCCCGGGGTCCTACTGTCTGTCTACACCTGCAGTGACACATAGGATCCACGTGTAACTGGCCTCCCCAAACTATGCGTCCCTTGGCTTGTCATCTCACTGGACCCTCCCTGCTGGGCTGGACTCACCTGTGAAGAAGATGTAGTCAAACTTGTTCTCCAGGAGGGTGGTGGTCTCCTGGGGTCCTCCCAGCACCACAGCAAAGCAGTTCTGTGACCCAAGAAAGAAGAGTTCCCTTGAGGCAGCCTGTGGCCCCTGGGGGGCCTGTCAAGACCCCCTGCCCTGGCCTGGGAGGCCCCTCCTCCTCTCCACCACTTCCTAAAGGGCTCAGCTCAAATGCTACCTGCCCCTCCCCCCCCGGCCTGTCCTGATCTCCCACCCCCAAAGGGACCTGGTAGCTACTTTCAAGGGCACATGATGGTTCCCTCATAGAATGGAAGCTCCTCAGGGGTAGGGCTATTTGGTTTTTGTGTTTGTATCCCCTGTAGCACCTGCCTGACACATCTAGACATTTAACAAATTCTTGTTGACTCAGTGACAGCTGGATTTTCTCCCCTGTCCTGGCATGGCCAGAGTTCCCAACTGTAGTATAGGGGTGAGCAAGGTACTTCTCTTCAGGGCCCGAAGATGGAGAGGGTTAAGCAGTGTGTGAGAGTGTGTGTGAGAGAGTGTGTGTGTGTGTGTGTGTGTGTGTGTGTGTGTGTGTGTGTGTGTGTGTGTGTGTGTGTGAGACACCCAGGATGTGGGCCAGCTGGGGCCGGTAGCCTGTGGAAATGAGGGTCCCAAGACCTTGACTAGAAGGCTGGGTTAAGGGATCAGACTCCTTTTGTTATTGGCGCCTTCTCTGACTCCCCCGTCTCTCCTCCACCTAGGCCCCTCCACACACCAAGTAAAACCCAAACGGAGCCACCCACAAGCCAAGGGCCACAGAGGAGAAGGCCTCCTCCAGCCCAGAATGGCTCAGTCCCTGACACTTCCCACGGTCCCCCAGGGTCCTTGGGGAGGGGCGTAGCAAGCTGAGGGACTTAATGGAGCTGATTGTTTGGGGGGACACCTCGGACTGGCTGATCTCTGAAAGGAAGACCCCCAACAAAATGAGTGATCCCAGTGGTGAGCTGCGTGTGCTCCCAACTCGGGGCTCTGCCCAGGGGCTCTCTCCCCAGCCTCTTCCAGGACTGGCACATTCTGGGTGGGGAGCATGGCGCCTGTAAGGCCTTTTCAATGCATTGGTTGCTTCTGGGGAACTCCTTTCTTCCCTTATCCCTTGGTAGAAGGGGTGGCTCTCAGGGAGACAGGAGGTGGGGAGATATATTGGGAGGTGTAGGTAATATAAAAATAATATTACTAAAAAGTTCTTCTAAGTGAATTGGAGATGAATGGACAGAGTATGGGTGGACACTCAGTGTGAATGAGTGAAAAGCTGCCATAATTTAGGCATTAAACTACCCACTGTGATTGTGTCGACTGAGGGGCTCTCTCCAATGGTACAGGTAGCAGCCCATCCATGCCCAGCCTTCCTCACTGTCTCTGGAGGTCTTTAGGGTACCAAGGAAGGACTCTGGCTGTCTCCCTCCACCCGTTGGTCTTGCCAGGTGACCAGACCATCCTCTGGGCATTGAAATCAATGTGTGTAAATATGATAACAATGAGCTTGCTGAGCAGAGCTGACTAGAGAGAAGCTCTGTGGCCCAGCGGGGGCTTCCCTCCCCACTCCACGAAGCCTTAGAATGCAGCTGAAAAATCTAGGTCAGAAGCCAGCTAGAGCAAGTCACTCATGTGACACATGAGGACACTGAGGCCCGGAGAGGGAACATTATGTTGGTCACAGTGGGGCTGGAATTCAAACCCAGGTCGTCTACCCTAAATCACTGCCTCAGGTGCTTGGACAGATCCCGTGCTGAAGGCGTTGGAGGGCTGGGGAACACGGGACCCTGGGCAGTACCCCCTCACCTTGTCCAAGTAGCTGGGCAGCACTTCACTAATGATCTTCTCCATGCTCTTGCTCATTTCCGAGGGCTTTAACACCACGCAGTTGCCTGCAGGGAGGAGGAGAGGCAGGTTCAGCAGAGGGGGGCTGCAGCCAGAGGTCAGCCTATCAGAGAGGTACCAGTGGCCAGGGAGCTGGGGGCTAAAGAGTTCTGAGCCCCTGGCAAGTCCATGTATTCCAGGGCCAGGGGGCACTTCCCCCCTCTTCTCTTGCCTCTAGCCCTTCCCGGGACCCAGAGACATCATCACAGAACATTGGCTAAACTGCTCATTCTCACAGTTGAACTATAGAGGGCAGCCTTGTCCCTGGTACCATGGTCCTGCACTTGGCGGCTGCCTGAGAGTGGACCAGTTCTAGCTTCTGTATAGACACGCCCCTGGCAGTGGGCGAGGACAGTCTTGGAGGGCATGAGACAGAGGGGCAGTTAGAGGAAGAAGGAGGGGAGGAAAGGGAGATGGAGCTAGGGCAGAACACATCTTGTTCTGAAATACTCAAGTATTTTATCAATTTCTAAGGCCTGGGAGGAACCTTAGAACATAGAATCTAGAATGTCAGAACTGAGCCTTGGAACCCAGAAGGGAGACTGTTGGATAGGGATATTCCCAGGGGTCATTTAGTCCAACTGTTGCCTCATATGAATGTGGAGGGAACTGGAGGACAGGCAGGGGACTGGCCAGTGACATCACAAGCTCAGTTTCTTTCCTTTAAAATTGTTTTCCCTAGCCCCTGGATTCCGGGACTGATGCTTCTCTCCCCCACCTCCAGCCTACAATCTGCCACTGCCTCCCCCTCCCCATTAAGGGGCTTTAAAGCTGGAAGAGACCTTAGGTAGGCCCTCAGTCAACCCCAAATTTTGCAGTAGGAAGAAAATGAAGCCCAGAGTGGAGTCCTGTCTAAGGTCCCTGGGCATATCAGGGCTGTCTTAGGACAAAAATTCTGGGTCCCCTCACTCACGTCGGCTGCTCTCCTCCCTCTCCCTTCCCCTCTCTGCTCCCCATCCCATCCCTCTTCCTGCCATTTTGGGGAGAGAGCAAGCTCTCGCCCAAGAACAGTAGGGCCTGAGCAGGTGAGGACGAGTCTGGGGCAGCAGCAGGGACGAGGACGTCCAGGCCTTCATTCCTTACCTGCTGCGATGGCCCCGACCAGAGGAACTAGCACGAGGTTCAGAGGGTAGTTCCAGGGGGAAATGATGAGGACCACGCCATAGGGTTCCCTCCGGATAAAGGCTGTGTCCAGTTGGGTGGCCTGGTGACAAAGGAATGAGAGCCTAGGCCCCTGAGCCTGGATCTCAACTTGAGGGCCCCCCTGCTTTAAGAGATCCCAGGAACCAGAGGGAAGAGAAGGGGGGGGGGAGGAAATGCCCCCAGGGAAGCCTCTCTCCCTGCCTCCTGCCCTCGCTTGCTCTGCAGCTGCCCCATCCCCCCTCACCAGTCAGCCCTGGCTCACCAGGTTTTTAGACACATGCTCATCCTTCATCCAGCTGTGCAGGTTGTTCAGAGCCAGGTTGATTTCACTCTGACAGATGCTGATTTCGGAGATCTCAGACTCAAAGGGAGCCTGGAGGAGGAGGTGGTCCATAGGTCAGGCCCCAGGGCCCTCCCCATGCATCCCAGGAGCCTGGCATACACCAAACCTCCACTCTAAACCCCTACGCATCCTTGCTGGATATTGCATCCTGCAACAGGAGGAGGAGGAGAATGACCTTGGTCCTTGGAACCTCTGCTAGCTGAGACACATCCTATCCAGCTGGAAAGGCCTGACTTGGAGCCCTGAGTTTGGTCCTCTCCACAAGGCTGCCTATGGCTCAAGGACCAGCTGGTCATTAGAGTTCACCCTGCCCCAAGTTGGCCACAGCCAGAGGAATTTCTTAGCCACTGCTACTCTCAAAAACCATTCTATAAGTCACACAGGGAACGTCCTCCAGTGACAGGATTACAGAGCCTTGAAGCCTAGGATCAGTCAGCCAATAAGCATTTATTAAGTGTGTATCTGGGTGCTAAGCCCTGGAGATACAAAGGCAGAAAAAGAGGATGCCCTCAGGGAGCTCCCTCTTCAAAGGGGGAAATATGTAAATACCTGGAGGTACAACATGCATTGAGAATAAATGGAAGGCGATCTAACACTGAGGAGACACTAGGGGGCATGAGAGAGAGACCAGAGAAGGCCTCCTGCACAAGGTGGGAGCTGAGTGCAATCTTGAAGAAAGTCATAGAAACCAGGAGGCTTGCAGCTAGCCTGGGCGAAGGCGCAGGAGAGGGGGACAGTGCATACTGCAGTTTGGATGGAGCAGTCTGTGAAGGAGAGTTACCTGAACAGGGCTTAAAATGAACTTAAACTTGGACCAATGTGTACCAAAATATTTATAGCAGCTCGTTTCTGGGGGCAAAGAATTGGAAACTCAGGGTTGGCCCATCGATTGGGGAATGATTGAACAAGTTATGGTATGTGATTATGATGGAATACTATTGTGCTATAAGAACTGATGAGCAGGATGCTCTCTGAAAAACCTGGAAAGACTTGCATGGGCTGATACAAAGTGGAATGTACCCGGTACAAAGTAACAGCAATACTGGAAGATGATCAGCTGTGAATGACTTAGCTGTTATCAGCAACGCAATGATCTGAGACAACTCAGAAGGACTGATGATGAAAAATGTTTTCCATCCCCACAGAAAGAACTGATGGCATCTGAATACAGATTGAAGCAGACTTTTTAAAAAACAGTGAACTTAAACTTGAAAGGCTGCATTTTCTCCTGGAGGAATTGGGAGGCACCAATGGTTTTTGAGTAGGGGAGTGGCACAGTCAGATATGTGCTTCATAAAAATGATTTTAACAGCTGAGCAGAGGAAGGGTTAGAGGTAGAGTGTCTAGGAGCCCAGTGAACAGTCAGGAAGCTGTTAAAATAATCCAGATGAGTGCTGTGTAGGGCCTGGCCCTGGGTGGGGGCCTTGGGAATAGGAAGAAGAGGATAGATGACTAGGAGAGATGCTGTAAAGATTGGACCGGCAAGCCTTGGTGACTGATTGGATATGGGAGATGAGGGAGGGAGAGGGCATGGTCAAGGACGATTCCAAGGTCATGGCCCTGGGTGTGTGGAAGGATGGTCATGTCATTTAAAGAAGGAGGGCATTTGGAGAGGTAGGTTTAGAGGAAAAGGAAAAGGAGTGCTATTTTTGTGATGTCACATTCAAGATGCTCATGGGATGTCCAGGCAGAGATGCCCAGCAGGCTTTTGGTGGCAAAGGAACAGATTTTAGGGGAGAGACCAGCACTGAGTATGGAGAGTTGAGAACCATACGTGTAGAGATGAGAATAGATCCCATGGAACCCTGGGCCTCCAGAGGAAAAGAGTATATAGAGAGGGGACAAAGCCTTGGGGAACACCCACAGTGAGAGGGAGGGAGACAGATGATGAATCAGCAAAGGAGACAGAGATGGAGTTGTCACACAAGCAGGAGGAAATCAGGAGTGGACAGTACCGTGGGAAGCCAAAGGAGGACATAGAACCTCAGGATTTCATTGAGACAAAAGATCCTTGTGGACAAGATTGGGAAATATGGACGGGAGGCAGGTAGGTGACTTAGTGGATAGAGCACCGGTTCTGAAGTCAGGAGGACCTGAGTTCAAATCCAGCCTCAGACCAAACACTTGGCAGTTACTAGCTGTGTGACCCTGGGCAAGTCACTTAACCCAAAATGCCTAAAACAAAACAAAACAAACCAATATAGACTGGATGGGAGCAGAGTGAGGGTAATTTATAGCTGAACAAATTGTGTTGAGTTGTGTTGATGGATGCCAGACTGGAAGGAAGTCTTCAGTGTTGGGCCACAGGACTCTACCCAGTGATCTCACCTGTTCCAGATTTTCATCAGTGACTTAGAAGAAGGCCTAAATAGCATGCTGATCAAATATGCCAATGACATGAATCCGGGAGAGATGAAGCTAACACTGGATGGCAGAATCAAGGTCCCAAAAGATACTGAAGACTAGGATGATGGGCCCAAATTAACGGATTCATCTAAGTTCTCAAACCTGGGCTCAAGAACTCGACTAAGTACAGGATGGGGAAAGTAAGACTAGAAAATAGTTCATGTGGAGATGACCTGGGAGCTTTGGTGGCCAGCTCCTCGATGTGAGTGTGGCAGGGACACCAGGACAACAAATGTTGTCATTGGCCCCATCGAAAGGGGTGGAGTTCCCAGAGAAGGCAGTGAGACTGGGGGCAAGAGTCCCACTGTCCTCAGCCTGGTCAGGCCACAGTGAAAAGTCCTGCCTTGAGCACCCCATGCTAGGGGGCATTGACACTGGAGTATGTCCAGAGCTAGAGGAGGAGGATGGAGAGAAGCCTAGAAAATATGTCATGTGAGGGTCAGGCAAAGTAAAAAGGGGTGAGACAAGGCTCAGTGGCATGGGACGGCTGTCCTCAACTTCTGGAGGGTCGTCTCATGGGGAGGAGGGACTCAATTTATTCTAGGTGGTTCTGGAGTATACAAGTAGAGCTAATAGCTGGAAAGTACAATGGGGAAGAGCTACCATGATTACGGGGAAGGAGAAGCTTTCTACTAGGGCAAGGTCCTGGACTGCCTTGGGAGGTGATGGGCTGCCCATACCTGGCTGTGTCCAAGCAGAGACTGGGGGGGGGGGCCTGGCTGGGAGGCTGTTGAAGGGGTTCACGCATGGGAGGGAGGTTGGAAAAGACGCTTTCAAAGAGCCTCTCCATGCCTGGGGTTCTGTGACGCTCTGAACTGGTCAGTCTCCAGAGAAACCTTTAGAGTCTCACCTTGTGCAGATCCTGGGCCAGGGCAGCCAGCAGGGCATCTCGGTTCTCTTTCAGGAAGCGGTTCAGCCCCTCCAGCTGGGCAGCTCGGAACTCTGCTGGGCGGGTTTTCCCAGAGCCAAAGGCATCTCGGAGGCTCTGCAGGGTGTCCAAAAAGGGATTCATCCTGATTCAGAGAGAAGCAGGGATTGGGTTTGGGATTGGGAGCTCTCTGCGCACCAGGAGTCCCCCAGACACAACACTCTGCCATACCGAGGCGGAGAACTTGTGCCCATTCATTTCACGCAGACTCCAGAAAATGCCCGAATACTGGCTCTCTTATGAAGCCTTCCTCAGTCTCCCCAGCCCAAAGCCACCTCTCCTTCCACAGGCCCCTCTCAGCACACTCTCACACTCGAGGCACAGAACTGGGTTGTACAAGCTGGGGTCTAGAACCTAAGACCACCGAGTCCAACCCCCTCATTTCACAGAGGAGCATGCCGAGGTCTAGGGCTGGCAGCCATCTGCCCCTGCAGCTGGCAAACGGATGGGCCCCTACTTAGGCCAGGCCTTCTGCTCTGGGGCTTTGGGGGCTGATTTTAAAAATGCCACGGCTGGGAACAAGGACCCTCGAAGTGGCCAGGATGCAGCCGTCGCTGTCACTGACATCTCTTGGCGAAGGTGGGAGAGAAAACTCAAGCACCTTAGAAAGGCTACATCCTTCCACTGGGCCTCAGCCTCCTCAACTGTAAAATGGAGGAATACTTCCTGACCCACCGCTGGGTGGGGAGAGCTGGATGCCTATGCTCTTTGGGTGTAAACTCTTTCTAGGATCGATGTTAAACAGGGTTTCACGCTAACAAAATCCTCAGGCTGCTGTTCAGAATCCTTCACCATCTGGCCAACTTCCCAGCCACGTCTCAGATTGCTTCCCTTCACACCCTCTCTAGCTCAGACTGGTCTGCTAACTGATTTCTGTCAACAATATTCCATCTCCTGCCACCTTGTCTTTGTATAGGCTGTGCCCTATACCTGGAATGCTTTCTTTCCTCCCTGATGTCTCTGGCTTCCTCAAGACTCAGCTGAAGGACTGGCACCTCCTAGAGATGCCCCCCTCAAATGACCCCCTCAGCCTTGGATGTTTTCTTCCTCTTTTTGAAAAATTGTATTTATTTTATTTTTAGTTTATGGAATAAAACAAGGCATTTCCATGACACAGTGTAATAAAAAAAGATGACTGCACGTGAAACTGCAAATCTGTCTTGTACGACTCGCCCTCCCTTTAGATATATTGTCTCTCTTCAAATTCCTTTGTATAGTCTTCATACTTTCAAACCTGTGTCCATGTTCTAATCCCCCTGTTAGAGTGGGAGCTGCATTGGAACGTGGCCTTTGTCATTTGTGTTCTGCCTCTCTCCCTCCCTTCATTCCTTCGTTCCTTCCTGCTTTCCTTCCTTCCTTCCTTCCTCCCTCCCTCTCTTCCTTCCTTCTTTCCTTCCTTCCTGCTTTTCTCCCTCCCTCCCTCCCTCCCTTCCTTCCTTCCTCCCTCCCTTCCTTCCTTCCTTCCTCCCTCCCTCCCTCCCTCCCTTCCTTCCTTCCTTCCTTCCTTCCTTCCTTCCTTCCTTCCTTCCTTCCTTCCTCCCTCCCTCTCTTCCTTCTTTCCTTCCTTCCTGCTTTTCTCCCTTCCTTCCTCCCTCCCTTCTTTCTTTCCTTCCTTCCTTTCTTCTTTCCTCCCTCCCTCCCTCCCTTCCTTCCTCCCTCCTCCCTCCCTTCCTTCCTTTCTTCCTGCCTGCCTGCCTTCCTGCTTTCCTTTCCCTCTGTCCACAGAGGGAATCATACTCTTACCTGTGAATGCTATGCCCAAAGGAAAGTAAATTTTGCTCACTGAAACTTCAAAAGGTATCTTGAGGTTCATGGGCTGGATTTTTTTCTCAAGGAGCACACCTTAAACCCAAATCACTCAGGCTCTCATTGATTGGATGACAGCAGGTCCCAGGCCAAGCCTCACTTGGTCATTGTTTGGGCCCTGATTGGCACAGAGTGAGTGTAAATAGCAATTGTTTCTATTTTGGCCAGAAACCCTGAGGGTCTTCCCCTCCCAAATTGATATATATGTATATATTTTAACTAGGTAAAGAGGCCTTTCTTGGCCTCATTTTCTTACCTGGCCTTAGTCACTGAATGGGTGTTGCCCCAGTCAAACTGAAACCTGTTAAAGATCTTAGCTTAAAAGGCTGCTTTTAAGCATCTCCAGTCATCCTGATCTACATTTCACCACTGAACCCAGATGGCTCTGGAGGAGAGAATGAGGCTGCTGACTTGGCACAGCCCTCCCTCACTTACACTCAGTTCACTTGCATATCGTGGCATCACCTCCCTGATGTCCTGGTCCTCTTTGACAGTGAAGCACAGATAACACCAATACCACCCTAGGACCTACCCCCCAGTTCTAGCTAGAAATGTAGCAGGAACTGTTTGCTGAATTGAACCTTCAGTGTTCCAGAGAATTGGGTTCAAAGGAACTCTTGCTCCCCATTTACTGAGACTGAGACACAGAATACTCCAGACTTTGCTGGTGTTGACCTAATGAGTCACAGTCAACCTTATCAAATAGGCCAAGACCCTTTACCATGGAAATAAAATGCCCAGATAGAGAAGTTGCCAACGCGAGGCCAGAGAGCCCAGGCAGTACACAAATGCACCCTCCCCACCTCCGCCCTTCCCTCCCTTCCTCCCTCTATCGCTCCCTCTCACACCTGCCTGCCTAGGAGTGTGGCAGAAGGAGCAGGTGGCTCAGATCTGACTGAGGCCAGCTAGCAGTACAGACTCGGGGTGCAGTGAGGATCAGCAGCCAGCAGGGGCTTCTTTCTGAAATAGATCAATGATAACAGACACAGATGAAATTGACGAACACAACACACTGAGAATTCTCCCCTTGTCCTCTTTGTAGGTGGGCGACTGTACTGGGCTGTCAGGAAGGGTGCGAGATGGGGGAAAGGTTGCTGGGAAGCCTTCTCAACCTCTCTCCCATCTCAGGGAAGAGTCCCTTACTCAATAGATTTATGCTAATTTATCACCCTGCTGGAAACCCTGCCTTGGATTAGTGACCTTTTTCCTGTTAAAATACATCCCTCCGTTCTCCTCCAACACATTAAGCTACTGTCATCCCTTCACACTTTAGCATGAATGGGTTTGCCAGACCCCATCCAGGTTGGGTGAGGGGAAATTACCCTCACAAGTCCAAACCAGAGAAAGTATCATGAGACAGTAGTTCCTATGAGAAAATCTGGGAATGTTAATGCATATTTCCCATTCTCTTCACTCGCACAGCCACCCTGCAAATCCAGGCCCTCATTACTTCTTGCCTGGACTCTTGTAATAGCCTTCTAACTGGTGTCCAGTAGCTCCCCACTTCAGTCTTTCCCCTTAAACAGCTGCCAGAATGGTTTTTCCAAGGCGTAGGTCGGCCATGTCACCCCTTTAGTCCATGATCTCCTCTGGTACCCAAGATAAACTCACTAACCCCTTTACAACATGACCTCATGCTCTCTTTCCGTTCTGCCACTGATTCCCTCCACACACTCTGTGGGCCAGTCTTGTTGTCCTGTTTGCTGTTCCTTGTACATAATGCTTCATCTCCTGTCCTCATGCCTGGAATGCTCTTCCTCCTCATCTCCAGCTATCAAGACCCATCTCATATGCAGGTCTTTCCTCTTCCCCACCCCCTGACTCCAAGGTTAACCTCCATCTACTCTGTATGTATCTTGCAGGTGCTTGTTGTCTTGTCTCACCCATTAAAATGTAAGCTTCCTGAAGGCAGGGCTTGCATTTGCTTCTTCGTTATTATCTCAGTACTTAGTTCATGCCTGGAACATAGTAAATGCTTAATCAAGGTGACTGTATGCTGGGTATGAATTGGCTGCATAAGGGCTGAATTTGAAGGCAGAAGTCCTGAGTTCAAATCCTGGCTTGGCTATTTAGGTTTGGGGCAAACCACTTAACCTCTCCTTAGGTTTCAGTTTAAATTTTAAATGCAAAAATAAAAGAGATGGGCTAGAAGACATCTAAAGTCCCCTCCAACTTGAAATCTATGATTCTACTCTCATAAAATAGTAAACATCTGATGTGATCTTAGGTTGTGTGTGAAGAGTCAGGACAAGGGAGGTGAGGGTCCCACCGGACCCATTTGGCCCTGGCTGGGCTCCAGTTTAAGAATGACATTGATAGACCAGAGGGTTTCCAAGAGATGGAGGAAGGGGTGTGTGAAGAGACTAGAAAGCATGCTCGGGGAGGGGGGGAGCAGATGAAGAATCTGGGGAAGTTCAGTTTGGAAAAGGATGAGAAAAGGTCAGGGGTGAGGGAGAAGATGAGAGAAGAGCTGTCACATGTAAGGCAATTGGAGGGTAGAGCTAGGAGCAACAGGGAGAATTGCAAGCAGTAGAGGGGTGGGGGAACAAAGCTTGGTGCCATGTAAGGAAAAACTTCCTAATGGTGAGGGCTGTCCCAGAGTCCAATGTGCTAATTCCAATACTATTTGACAAATTAGGCAAAGAAGGAGTTCTACAAAGGACCAGGATGAATTTACAAGTAAATGCTACCAAACAATTAAAGAACAATTAATTCCTTTCATGACATGGTTTTAATACCCAAACCAGGGAAAGCAAAAACCAAGAAAGAAAACTATAGAGCAATTTCCTTAATGAATATCAATGCAATAAGTTTAAATAAAATACTAGCACGGAGATGCCAGCAAAACATCACAAGGATCATACACATTGGCCAGGTGGGATTTATACCAGGAATGCACAGCTGGTTCACTATTAGGAAAACTGTCAGCATAATAGACCATATCAATCACAAAACCAACAGAAATCATATGATTATATCAATAGATGCAGAAAAATCCTTTGACAAAATGCAGCACCCATTCCTATTAAAAACACTTAAGAGCACAGGAAATAAATGGAGCTTACATTAAAATGATGAGTTATATTTATCTAAAACCATCAGCAGCATTATCTGTAATGAGGATAAGCTAGAAGCCTTCCCAATAAGGTCAGGATTAGCAAGGATGTCCATTATCCCCATTACTATTCAACATCGTCCTAGAAATTCTAGATATAGCAATGGGACAAGAAAAGGAAATTGAAGGAATAAGCATAGGCAACTAGGTAATAAAACTCTAATTCTTTGCAGATGATATGATGGTAGAGAGCCCTAAAGAATCAACTGAAAAAAAAGAAAAGAAAATCAACTAAAAATAGGTGAAACAATGAACAACTTGAGCAAAGTTGCAGGCTATAAAATAAACCCACAGAAATCATCAGCATTTCTATATGCTACCAACAAAACCCAGCAGGAGAAGATAGAGGAATTCCATTTAAAAGAACTATAGACAGTATAAAATACTTGGGACTGTAGCTGCCAAGACACACACAGGAATTAGATGTACGCAATTACAGATACTCTTTACACAAGTAGAGACAAACCATGGGTAAGCTAAACCAATATAATACAAATGACAGTTCTACCTAAGTTAATTTACTTATTTAGAACCCTACCAATGAAACTACCACAGAATTATTTCATAGAGGTAGGGAAAAAAAAGAAACAAAATTCAGCTAGAGAAACAAAAAGGTCAAGAATAGCAATGGAATCAATTTAAAAAAAGTGAAGGAAGATGACCTAGCAGTACCACATCTTATACTCTGTTATAAAATGGTAGAGAAGGAAATGGCAAACCACTCTCATGGTAATGGTAATCATTAAAACAATCTGATACTGGATGAAAAACAGAGTGATCAGCCAATGGAATGGGTAAGGTACACACTACATAGAAATAAATGTCCACATAACCTAGTATTTGGTAAACACAAAGATCACAGTTTAATTAGGGCAAGAATTCACTATTTGACAAAAACTGCTGGGAAAATTGGCAAGCATCCTGGTAGATACTAAGCATAAACCAACATCTCACACATACCAAAGTAAGATTAAAATGGATATTTGATACCTAAATGGCAATATCATAAGCAAACTAGGGTAACATGGAAAAAATTACCCTTCAAATCTGTGGATAAAGTAAAAGTTTATGACTAAAGAAGAGATAGAGTGGATCATGGAAACTGAAATGAGTGATTTTGATTACATGAAATTAAAAAGTTTTTGTACAAACAAACCCAATGAAGCCAAAATTAAAAGGAAAGAAACTGGGGTAAAAACTTTACGGCAAATTTCTCTGATAAAGATCTCATTTCTCAGATATGTAGGGAACTGAGCCAAACTTATAAAATTAGGAGCCATTCCCCAAATTATAAATGGTGAAAGGATGGGAACAGGCAGTTTTCAGAAGAAGAAATCAAAGCTAACAATAGTCACTTGAAAAAATGTTCTAAATCACTAATAATTAGAGAAATGTAAATTCAAACTACTCTGAGGTATTACCTCACACCTGTCAGATTGGCAAACATGACAGAAAAGTAAAATGACAGATGCTGAAGGAGACATGGGAAAATAGGGACACGAAAACACTGTTGGTGGAGTTGTAAACTGGTCCAACCATTTTGGGAAACGATTTACAGCCCCAAGGGCTGTAAAACTGGGCATACTCTTTGACCCAGCAATACCGCTAGTAGGTCTGTATCCCAAAGAGATAAAAGAAAAGGGACCTATGTATGCAAAAATATTTACAGCAGTTCATTTTGTGGTGATGAAGAACTGGAAATTGAGGGGATGCCCATTAGTTGGGGAATGTCTGAACAAGTTGTGGCATATGATTGTGATGGAATACTATTGTGCTGTAAGAAATGACAAAGCAGGATGGTTTCAGAAAAACCTGGGAAGACTTATATGAACTGATGCCAAGTGAAGTGAGCAGAACCAGGAGAATGTTGGACACAAATGATCCACCTCCAAAGGACTCATTTTGAAAATTGCTAGGCCCTCTAGAGAGAGAACTGATGAACCCTGAGTGCAGATTGAAGCATTTTTTTTCCACTTTATTTTCCTTGCTTTCCTCCCTCCCCCCACAACATAGCTATCAGGAAAATGTTTTGCATATGTATCATAAGTATTGTCATAATCATAAACCAAAAAAAAGGAGCAATGTGCTGAGACAGTGAGCTCCCCATTGCTGCAGGGCTACAAGCAGAGTGTCTGGTTGGGGATTCCAACTCAGGAAGAGTAGACTTGGAGGGGTGGGACTCTTGGGTCCCTTCTAGTAGATTCTGTGATTCCAGAAGCTGGCTGTGAGCATTTGGGGAAGACAGGGTGGAGAGAGGAGGTCCTGAGCCTTGGGTAGGGAGGAGTCAGGGACAACCTGAGAGCAGTGTAGGACCAGCGGGACCCACTTCCCAATTTTGCTTCTGACAGTTTCAGTTGAATCACTTGATTGCTACAGAGGCATCAGCCAGCATTTGGGGTTCTCAGATGAAACAGTGCAGCAGCTCTGAGACTAGACGCGTCCTGTCAGCAGCATTTTGTGGTGACACACTTGGCCACTTTTGCCCCTTCTCCCTTGGCTGACAGGACTCCAGTTCAGCTAGTTCCTAAGCCAGGAGAACAAGAAGGAGATCTATAGTCCACACTCCTAGTGTGGCCGTGCATGGCAGGGCACTTCACTGCCTGGGTCTTGGTTCCTCATCTCTGAGGGTTGGGCTAGATGACTTTGAAGGTCCCTACCAGTTCTAAATCTTCAGCCCTCCTTTCAAATCAAAGCACTTGGTGACCTCCTCAGGGAAGATACAGTGCTTGGTATCAGTCTGAAAACTCCTGTTAGCCATAGCTATTAAAAGAGCCTGGAGGTGGATGTCAGCTGGGATCCTTCTAAACTTTTCCACTGCTATGAAATGAAACACATATCCTTGGGA